TTAAAATTGCTGTGATAAACAACTCCAACCTCTCACACACATTAGCACCATTTTGTCTCAAACAGAGCCCCTAGCCCCAGCTGCGGTGCACCGTGGGTTTGCATTGCCCATTGTAGTGCCCCGGGTTGTTCCTGCAGTCTAGAAAACCAGACTCCTAGTGACACACACGTCGGTGCTTCACTTTTTCTTTCTTCTTCTGTAAGAATACAATTGTGGACTTGTGCCAAAGCATGACATCTGGAATGCATAAGTGCAGGTAGAGGTGTAAACTAATCTTCTAATAAGTGATAGTATTCCCTTCTTATTTTTATTCCGTTCTTCAAAGCATGATGCCAGTTTGGGGAGAGGAGGCAAAATTGCTTTAGCAGCAGAACCTTTTCCTTCAATGAAATCCTACCTCTTTGCCCGCCAAATAAAAGAAGCTAAAATACGGCCTCCCTCTAACACCCTCCACCATTCCCTGGTGCCTCTGGGGCGGTGGGCGTCCCCAGTTCTCACCGCACTTGTCAAGCATGGAGGCAGGGCAATAAAGGAGGATCTCTATGGATCTCCATCACGCCCTCAGATACAAGGAAGCTGAGTCTGCCATATGCTTGGTCAGTGCCAGATCTACTCCCATTTCACACATTCAAGGCTTAAATGTTTTATCCAAGGTCTCCAGCCTTGGATTGGACACTACCCTGTACTTGTCAGTTACCTCAATAAGAGAAAGAGATGCTGATGTCCCTGGGTCTTTGTCTTTGAAGCTTCAAGGATGGGACCCTGAGTGTCAACCCAACGAGCGAGTGATGCATCAGGATCTGAACTTAATATGGATAAACTAGCAAAACTCCACACACTGACATTCGGATTCAAATGAGTCCCTATTAAATCTCAGCTGCCTTTTTTGCAAAAATTGACAAGCTGGTCCTAAAATTCATATGAGGACCCCGAATAGCCAAAACAATCACGAAAAAGGACAAAGCGAGAAGACACATACTTCTTGATCTCAAAAGTTACTACAAAGCTGCAGTAACTAAGACAGTGGTACTGGCATAAAGATTTACATACAGGTCAATGCAACAGAATGAAGAGGGCAGAAAAAAACACTTACATTTATGGCTAATTGATTTTCAACAAGGCTGCCCTTTCAACAAATGGCTCTGGGACAACAGGATCTCCACATGCAAAACAGCGAGGCCGTACCTCTACTTCACACCACATATAAAAATTAACCCAAACTGGATCAAAGGCCTAAACCTAAGGACTAAAAACTATAAAACTCTTAGGAGAAAATTTCAGCATAAATCTTCATGCTTTATGCTTTTTGGTGTTATACTTAAGAAACGTTTAGGGGCGCCTGGGTGGCTCAATCGGCTAAGCGTCCGACTTCAGCTCAGGTCACGATCTCGCAGTTCGTGAGTTCGACCCCGCGTGAGGCTCTGGGCTGACAGCTCAGAGCCTGGAGCCTGTTTCGGATTCTGTGTCTCCCTCTCTGACCCTCCCCCATTCATGCTCTATCTCTCTCTGTCTCAAAAATAAATAAACGGTAAAAAAAATTTAAAAATAAGAGAAACATTTACACCAAAAGCATAAGCAACACAATAAAAATAGATAAATTGGACTTCATCACACTTAAAATCCTAGGCTTCAAGGAACACAACCAAGAAAATAAAAAGACAATCCACAGGAGAAAATATTTAAAAATCATATATCTGATAAGGGACTGAATTTAGAATATATAAAGAACCCTTACAAATCAATAATAAAAAGACAAACCAACTTTTAAAAATTGGCAAAAGATCTGGAATGACACTTCTCCAAAGTGAAAAGATATTCAACCAACACAATGTTAAAGAAGAACAAAGTTAGAAGACTGCAATTTCCTGACTTCAACACTTATTACAAAGCTACAATAATCAAGACAGTGTACTATTAGCAAAATAATAGACAAATAGACCAATGGAAAAAAATAGCCCATAAATATAGTCAGCTCATCTCTAACAAAGGAGCAAAGGCAAAACAATGGAGCAAAGATAATCTTTTCAACAAATGGTGCTGGAATAAGTGGATATCCACATGCAAAACAATGAATCTAAACACAGACCTTATGCCCTTTGCAAAAATTAACTCAAAATGGATCAGAGACCTAAATATAAAATGCAAAACTATAAAACTCCTGGAAGATCACATTGGATAAAACCTAGCTGACCTTGGCTATGGTGATGCTTTTTCAGCTATGATGCCAAAAACACAATCCATGAAAGAAATAATTGATAAGCTGGACTTCACTAAAATTTAAAATTTCTGCTCTGCAACAGATAATCCCAGGAGAATTAGAAGACACACCACAGACTAGGAAAAAATATTTGTGAAAGATATATTTGATAAAGGACTGTTATCCAAAACATGCAAAGAGCTCTTAAACTTCAACAATAAGAAAACAAACAACCTGATCTGAAAATGAGCCAAAGACCATAATAGCCACCTCACCAAAGAAGACATACAGATGACAAGTAAACATATGGAAAGATGCTCCTCCACATCATATGTCATCAGGGAAATGCAAATTAAAACAATGAGGATACCACCCCACACCTATTAGAAAGGCCCAAATCCAAAACACTGACCATACCAAACGCTGACCAAGGATGTAAAGTAACAGAAACTCTTTCATTCATTGTTGGGGGGGATGCAAAATGGTACAGCCACTTTGGAAGACAGTTTGGAGGGTTTCTTACAAAACTACATATACTCTTACCATACAATCCAGTATTTACCCTAAGGGGTTGAAAACTTATGTCTACACAAAAACCTGCACATGAATATTTAAAACAGCTTTATTCACAACTGCCCAAACTGAGAAGCAACCAAAATGTTCTTCAGTAGGTGAATGGATAGACTTGGTACATCCAGATGATGAAATACTAAGCAGCACTAAAAACAAATGAGCTATCAAGCCATGAAAAGACAGGGAGAAACTTCAAATGCATGTTACTAAGTGAAAGAAACCAATTGCTACATTCTGTCTGATCCCAATTATATGACATTTTAAAAAAGGGGAAACTGTGGAGACAATAAAAAGCTCAGTGGTTGTAGGGGGCAGGAGGGTAGAGATGAATAGGCAGAGCAGAGAGGATTCTTGGGGCAGTGAAAATACTCTGTGTGATATTATCATTGTGTTTGTAATTATCATTATACATTGGTCCAAACCCACTGAAAGTACAGCACCACGAGTGAACACTTAGATAAACTATGGGCCTTAGATGACCATGATGTGTCAATGTAGGTTCGTTCTTGGTACCAAAAGTACCATTCTGGCGAATGATGTTCATAAATGGTAGAGGCTACGGATGTGTGGGAACAGGAAGTAGAAAGGAAATCTCTGTACTTTCCTTTCGATTTTATTATTTAAAAAACAAAACTAAACTAAAACTGCTCTAAAAAATTAAAAAAAAAAAAAAAAGATGTTCGGAGTACTTGGGTGGTCAGTTGGTTGAGCGACTGACTTCAGCTCAGGTCATTATCTCACAGTTTACGAGTTCAAGCCCCATGTTGGGCTCTCTGCTGTCAGTGCAGAGCCCGCTTCAGATCATCTGTCCCCCTCTCTCTCTGCCTCTCCACCGCTCACATGCTCTCTCTCAAAAAAAAAAAAATTAAAAAAAAATTCAACACTACTAGCTATAGGGAAATGAAAATCAAAACCACAATGATACCACTTTATATGTACTAGGATGGCAATAATAAAAAAAAGATGGACAGTAACAAGTGTTGATGAGGATGTGGAGTAATCAGAACCCTCAAACACTACTAGTGGGATTGCAAAATGGTGCTGCCATTTTGGAAAACAGTTTGGCAGTCCTCCAAAATGTAAACATAGAGTTACCATATGACCCGCAATCCCACTGGAGGTATATACCCAAGAGAACTGAAAACATATGTCCATACAAACTTGTACTCTCCTCTCTTGGTGGGGGGGTGTGAAAAGAGAGGAAATGCATATGAACAGAGAAAGTGCTCTTGGACATATGGTCAAATGAGGTAAATCTCATTGGAGAACAATACATATAAAATGAGCCCATTATGTTGGTTTTTAAAGATATGCACAGGTACACACACCTGTACATCAAAACATAAGAAAAATATACAGTCAGCTGACCATAAATGTTCTCTCTGGAAGCAAGCCAGGGATGGGGGAGGCACAATTTAATTTTTTACTCTACAATTTCTGATTTGTTTGCATTTGTATATGTAAAGAATATAACCAGCCTTTCTTGTACAAAAGAGCATTTCTTTTTCTAGTCAAAGGGGAAGGAAAGAGGGAAAGGCCATTGGAGCTGGGCAGTGTGGGAGATTCTGAACGTGGATAAGAGTGAAAGAGCACTCCCAGTAGTAGGAACAGTGGATGCAAAGCTGTTAACGTTGAAAAGCCTCTGGGGTATTTGGGGGGCTGTTGGGTTCAGCTCCATTGGAGGGTCTAGCAGGTGACCTGGAATGGGGTGTGGTGACGATACACCAGAACAGTCCGTTGAAGCAGCCGGGTTCTGAGGGTCATGGGTACATGGAAGCCACCACTGTAGGGGGAGGCCTGGGAGAGACCACAGGAGGGGAGGGCATCTCATGGCATTTCACACCTGACCTCTGTCTCACAATAAATTTACCCTCAACTCCACTATCCGGATTTGGCTCCTAATATAATTGTCTCCAGAAAGGATAGCACCTGTCCCTGGTGAGGTCCCCAAATCTGAATGAAGAACTCTCTGTGTGTTTGAGCAAACCTTTCAGAGCACAAAGTAGTGACGGAGTGATGTGTGTCCGTTTTAGGTCACCAGATAATGACCACAGCCAGCCCTTCCTGCACAGAGGCTGTGACAGGAATATGCTCTCTGCACATATCTTCTCATTTAATCCCCACGGCAAACCCATAAGGTACAGCCAACCACTGTCCCCATTCACAGAGAAGGAAACCAAGGCTTGCAGAGGTTAGGCACCTTGCCTGAGGTCACTTTGCTACTAATGCAATGCTGGAGCTGAGACTGGAACACAGGACCCCGACCATCACCTCCACCACCTCCGGACATGTCAATTTGCCTTCAAGTCGGCCACTGTCCTGCATCACCACCCCAGCTTCCAGGAAAATAGTAAGCTCAGAATTGAAGATGAATTCAGGGCTTGGGGTTCTATCAGCAGGAGCAGCAAACCCCAACCTATAAAGTTATCATATGCTGGGTGGAAGTAGAGGTGGCAGATTGGACAAAGAACTAAGTTGGACTGTTAAATAACTAGTTTGATCTTTAGCTAGCTGAGCCACACAAGGCACCAAACTGCCTCCTTTGTCTTTCAGCTCCGGCCAAGGACCCCAGCCTCTCTTTCTGGAGCACTCAGCTTTGACTTGGGTCCCATATCCAGCTCTGTCCTGACTTGCGGGTCCACTTTAGAAAAGTCAGGAGACTCCTGGGGAAATAAGGCAATGGCCTCCTCCAGTCTCATTGCTCCGTGGCCACCAGAGACCCTGGGGATCCACTTAACACCGCAACATATCCTCACCATGCCAGAGACTGGGCGGTTGGCCGGGAGCAGCCTTTGCAATCCCAGAGCTGACATTCCACAGCGCTGTGCACCAAAGCAAGGCCTGTTAGTGATATTTAAAAGCATCTCTCTCTCTTGACATCACTGAATCAATCTTCTGGGAAGATCCCCCTCATCTCCACCTTCCCTAATACAACTGAACAGAGTTCAAGCAAGACACAGTTGGCAAGTTATTCCACTTCCCACCTTGCTTTCTTGGCCAGGAAGATGGGGATGCTAAGAGGGCATGTGCCACAGGACAGTTTTAGATAATACATGAGGATGTCAGTGTAGAGCCCAATAGCACAAGGCACGGCCTTTCACATCAACTGGCATTTACTGAGCACTGGTATGTCAGTTCCTTTTCCACAGAATACTCACAGAAAACATATGTGCACACATGCTGCCATAACCAATGAGGATCTGGCATCATCTGAGAGCTGGTACCTCTTTATCTGGACCTTTGCACATGCTCTTCCCTCTTCCTTTCATCCCCCACCCCCCGCCACTCCCCAAGAGAAGTGACTTGTAGCCATCCCTTTCTTTTCTTAGATATCACTTTTTCCAAGAACCCTCCCTGTCATACCTCCTTTATGCTTTGTTAAATAACATCAAATGACCAACCAATCAACCACTCAATGGGGAGAATGGGAAGCATACATCTCCTGGTCTATGATCCTATACATTTTCATCACTTCGTTTTTTTCCATCAAAGCTTTGCTAAGTAACTACTTTCCTTCTAGATGGTTCCCTGTAGGTGATGAGATGTTTGTAACCAAATGGCACAAAAGAGGAGGCAGTCCATGGCGAGGGCAGGTGAAATGAAGCAAGTCTTACTACGTGTAGGTTTGTACTTCTAGCAGTGCCCCCCCCAAGGCTTATACTCATCGCCCAGGTGGCAGTTTCAGGAAACACCATTACTCCAGGTGCCTCTGGAAAGGAAGGCACAAGCCTTCTGGTCAACCATGAGAGCACACAGTGTTGAGATCTTACTCCAGCCACCTGCTAGGATCTGGGGAGGAGGTGATGGAGGTTCTGCCCACAATGTCTCATTTCCCCTCCCCCTTCCCCAGTGAGACAGACCATGTCCAGGGCTCAAGAGCTGACTGGTCAAGCCAGGAATTCAACCACAACCTTGGGGTCCACATGCATAGAATTGTCTTCCCCCAGATAGCCACACCCCACATTCATCTAGGTTTCTGTTTGAATTGCTTCCTCAGAGAAACCATCCCTGACCTAAACCAATGCTGCCTCCACCCCACTCACTCTGGGTGAGTGGATCCCATCCAGCTTCATCTTGTTTATTACACTGACCACACTCCCTGATATCATATCATAGACCTAGTTGTCGACTGTCCATCTCTGCCCACGGGATGTAACACCATAATGGAGGAACACTGCCAGTCTTGACTGCTCTGTGGCCAGTCTCCAAGCCCTACCTCCATAAATGGTTCTTGAATAAATGGAGTGAATGAGCTGAGCTAAGGGGATAAGGCACATGTGCAGATAGGATTCCAAATAACTATAATCTTTGATCTTTTTTTTTTTACAAAAAAGTGTACCCATTTTCATAACTGAATGAACAGTTTTCACTACAGTGAAGAAGAAGGCAAAGCTTATCTCCAAACCTCTCCACAGAAGACCCCACTCCACCCACCACACCGGCGATCTCCCACGCAGGAATGTGCATTAATTAGAATCATATATACAAGCGTTTCATTGTCACTCAAGTTTCAACCTGTGCAAAGTGCAAAGTGATATGAATCAGACAATATTTGTACACACCACTAAGATAATGCATCCAAGGATTAATTTTTTTTAATTAATTAAACCTGGCTGGCTTGGTCAGAAGAGCGTGTGACTCTTGATCTCTGGGTTGTGAGTTTGAGGCCCATGTTGGGCGTACAGCCTACTTAAGAAAAACAAAACAAAAAAAAGCTCTTACTCACCTCACTTCACTCAGGGGATGCTCATTCATTCTGTCACTAAGGAACATTTATAAAGCATCTACTGTGTGTCAGGGGCCAGAGTTCAGTGGTAAAGAGGGCAATACCTCTACGCTCTTGGAGTCTGCATTCTCCTGTGTGGAGGCAGACAATAAACCCATAAATAGATACATGACTATGAACATTTCAGGTACGCTCCATGAATAAAATACAATGGGAGAATGTGATCAACACTGATGGGGGAGGGGCTGCTTTGAACAGAGTGGTCAAGGAAACCATCTCTATAGAGAAGACATCCAAGCTAAAGGACAAGATACTGCCGGACATGAGAAGAGTGGTAGAAGAGTGTGCTCCGCAACAGGAAGAGCATGTGCAAAGGCCCTGAGGAGTCTCCTGACAACTTGAAATCAAATTTTATGAACTGCATCCCATCCTAACAGCCCCACGACAGGCCAACAATCTCTGCTCCTTCAGCTTGCCTTCTCCTTTCCCCAATTGACTTCTTTATCAGATTTTCTCAAGTCAAGACAGACTTGAATTTTCCACTGGAAGGTGTGCCCTGAGTAAGGGCACAAAGGAACACGTGTACGCTTCTACCTCTAGGAGACACAGGTAATGTTGACATCTTGACACCGTAAGAACTTGGGCCTGCTCCTGTACAAGAGGTAAGAATGTCCCCACCAGCAGTTCAGGATCCCCTTTTGTGGGGTGCAGGCTTTTTGCAGAAAATGATGAAGAGAGAACTCTCTGGAAAAATACACACCTGTGCTCCAAGCATCTCATGTACGTGTCAGAAGATTCCTGGAGCCCCAGGCTCAGGACTCCCATCTGTGGTTACTACCACCAAAAGATGCTAAACTGGTGCAGGCTCCACTGGAGGGACAATCTGCTAGAGGTTAGTGAGTGGAGGGGAGGGGACAAGAGCAGGTCTTTGGGCCCCTAACTACACTCCCACACTCACAGAGATGAGGCAGTATCAGCCTATCAGGGGGCCTGAGAACTGAAGGAGTTCCCATGGAACCTTATTCACTCCCCCTCAGTGAGGCAAATATCCAGTCACACTCTAGAGCTTCCAGAGAAGGTCTGAGACCCCATTTCTCAGCAGTGTCCTTGACAAAGGTCATCTCTAATCTCGTATTCTGAGACACATTTTGCAAAAGGCTGCTTAACCATAGGAAACATTACTGCAAAGCCCAAGGATTTTGCAGCCCAAAACAACTAAAGCGAGTAGAGCTTACCTTGATACAAGGCACAATTCTAAGAACTTTCACCTCACACAACACTTTAGCATTTGTACTATTATCCTCATTTTACAGACGAGGAAACTAAGGCACAGATGGGTGAAGTAACTTGCCTGAGACTATACAGCTAAGACAGAGACACAGAAAAGCTTTCCGCTTCCACACCCCAACCAAGAAAAAACACAGCTATACCTTGTGTTGTGCCTGAAATGCTGTAAAATAAGTTTCTGCGGGTGCGTCCAGGACAACTACCGTTTGGCAGTTCTCACATCTTTGCCCAGTGCTGGAAGCAAGCCGGGTTCTGGCATTAAAGGGGGAAAGAGTCCTCTAGGAACAAGTCGCTCTGTTTCAGCACTGTTCAAGCCCATGTTGAGGCTGACAGTGCAAAGCGCAGCTCTACCGCGTGGCAAAGCCCAAAGGCATCCAGTTCCACCGGGCTCGGCCAACTTCCACACTCAGAAAATGCTCACCGGCCTCTGGCTATGAGGCACCGAGATTCACCCTAACCCCTTGGCGTCCGCCTCCCTCGCCTCTACCTCACGGTCCTCTGGCCGCGCTATTTAAAAGATGCAGCCGCCAGCACACGGGCCGGGCGGTCCCGGAACCGCGGCCGCCGCCCTGCGCGTCCAGAGCCGCGTTCCTCGCGGCGAAGTGACCGGCAGCCCCGCGAGCCACTACCAGCAGCGCCCGACGCGACGCTGACCTGTGGGCGACCCACCAAGGCTGGGGAAGACACCAAGGAAAAGGACAGGTGGCGCCTCCCTCCCCGGAAGTGGCTCTGGGAACGTTCGCCTAAGAGCTCCCAGCACCAAAGTCAGGGTCTCCGGCGCGAGCGGCCGCCGGTCCGGAGTGGCGGTGGCGCTGCCTACCTGCGCCGCGCCCAGGCACCCGAGTTGCGCTCCGAGTGCGCCGGGACCGGACAGCGCGCCGAGTCCGCTTCGGGCACCGGGACGGGTGGGGGCGACCCGGAGG